TCCCGACATGTATTCTCCTGGTTCTCGAATTGCCAAGTAAAAACAAGCCGGTCTCAGAATTAGAGGAAGCTTGGAGTCGTAATATTTCTTAACTATGTCCAGCAATACTTGAAAGGTTTTAGTATCTGGTGCCTCAAGGAAAGTCAGGCTCCTAATAACAGAAAAAGCTATAGCTCCATAGGAGAATTACTTGTTGTTTTTCGTTAGCCACAATGTCGTTTATTTGGAAAAATTAACACATTCTTTCCCACTGAGCCCAGTCCTTGATGGCAAGATTGAGCGAGCCAAGCTTCCCAAACAAAGGCATGATGTAAGAAATGCTTACACCAACTCAAAGACGACTATTGCAAGTGGGTTTCTTCAGGATCAGGCTTTACTCTTATTGCCACTAAAATAATTCCACACAGGATGGTCTCCTGTTACCGAGTCACCCTTTATTTACACATGAGCAGTCCTTGACTCTAATACTGCCCCATTCAGAGTCAGCTATCCGAGTGGCAGTATTTCTGATGGTCCCCTTTTTATCTGTCAGCCAAGGTTGCTCTGCCACCTTCAATGATCTGTGCACATGTACACCCAGATCCCTCTGCTCCTGCATACCTAAATGGCTGTACCCTTAGTTTATGCATTACATTACACTCATCTTGAACTTCATCTGCTACCTGTCTGCCCACTCCAATAACATCTGTACATTTCTTTGAAGTTTACAATGCTACCAAGTTTCACACTATGCGTAAACTTTGAAACTGGTCCGGCATACCAAGATGTAGATGATTTATATGTATCAGGAAAAGCATGAGTCCCCTGGGGAACTCCTGTACAAATCTTCTTCCAGCTTGAAAAAAACTACTGACGACGTTTCCTATTTTGTACCCATACTGCTGCTGTTCCTTTTGAAATAACTCCACAGAGGCTGGTATCCCATTACCAAGTCACCCTTTATTTACATATGAACAGTCTTTGACTTTCAGACTGTGTCATTCAGAGTCAGATATTAGAGTGACAGCATCTCTAACACTCCTTTTTATCCGTCAGCCAGGGCTCCCTGATTGGACCAGATGAATAACCCCAATCAGGGAACTCATATTCTATGAGGTCCAGCTGGCTAACCTCATTACAATCACTACACCTTCTATTCTGTAGCCTATAACCTTTCTCACCATTCTACTGTGTGGCAGTGTTTTAAATGTCTTCCTTATGTCCACGTACACCATATCAACAGCATTATCTTCCTCCATCTTTTCTGTTATCTCTTCAAAAACACTCCAGCAATTTAGTTAAATATAACTTGCCTTTTAAAATCCATGCTGGCTCTTTCTAATCAGCCCGCCTTTCACCATGTGACTCCTAATTCTACACCAAGTAGTTGTCTCCCGAAGCTTCCTCACCACTGAAGTAAAAGTGACCAGTCATTGCTGGATTCATCTGCACGACATTTTTTGAATAAGGGCATAATGTTTAAAGTTTACGAATCCTCTGACACCCATCTTGAATCAAAGGAGGACTGAAAGATTATGGTCCGTGCTCTTACAATTTCCACTCTCACTTCCTTCAAAACCTTTGGATGCTTTTCATCAACACCTGGTGCTTTGTCAGCTCTAAGTATCAACAGCTATCCAACAGTTCTGTCCTATCAATTTTGATCTGTTCCAGTGACAGATTTTCTTCCTTTGTTACCATGATAGCATCAACCTCCTAAATTTTCCCCCACTGCCATCTGATCTAATTGGCCCAGCCCCATTCCAAGAAAGCATATCCAAAAGTACATCCTTTCTCAGCCACTGAATGGATGCGGGTTCCTAGTGGTTGACTAGGAGCCCAGTTCTCCATCCAGCGTGTGAAAAGTAGCAAACATGATCCCTCTAATCAAGAAGGGTTTTATTAGGGAGGCAATAAACAGAAAAGTATAAACCAGTTAGCTCGAATTGTGTCATGAGGAAGGTGTTAGAATTGATCTTTAGAGAAATTATAACTTGGCACTTCGAAAAATTCAAGGTAATTGGGAAGAGTTAGCATGGTGTTTATGAAGGGGAAACCACGCTTAACCAATTTATTAGATTCTTTGAAGGAGTAAAAGGTACTGTAGGTAAAGGTGAGTTGGTGGGTGTACTGTACTTGGATTTCCAGAAGGCACTTGACAAGATGCCAATTCAGACAATATTGTGGAAGATAAAATCTGAGCTTGGGAGCTACCATGTTAGCACGGATGTAAGTTTGGCTGGCTGGCAGAAATCAGAGACTGTACATAAATGGATCTTGGTCTAACTGGCAGGATGTGATGAGCAGATTCCTGCAGGAGTTGGTGCTAGAGACCCAATTTTTTGCAATTTACATTAATGACTGAGATGAGAACAGCATATTAGTCAAAGTTGCAAACAACACAAAGATAAGTAGGAAAGTATGTTGTGAAGGAGTTTGCAGAAGGATATAATAGGTTAAATGTGTAGGCAAACATCTTGCTAATTGAGTATAATGTGGGAAACTGATAAGTTTTTCATTTTGACAGGAAAAATTAAACGGCAGAGTATTACTTAAATGGAGAATGATTGCAGAAATTTTGAGGTACAGAGTGGTTTAGATGTTCTTGTCCATGGGCCACAAAAGGTAATTAAGAAGGGTTATGGAATACTATGCTTTATTATAAGAGGGGTTGAACAGAAAAGTAAAAAGGCTATACTACAATGATACAGGACAATGAGAACACCTCTCAAATACTGTGTGCAGTTTTTGTGTCCTTAAATAAGGAAGGCTGTAAATGGGTCAGAGATGATTCAAAAGATATTTACTAGACTGATGCCTGGAATGAGTGGGTTGCCTTTCGATGATATGTTAGACAAGTCCAACTTGTTTCCACTGGAGGTAAGAACAGTGGCTGGACTGAACTCTGATCGAGAATAGCCTAGATAAATTGGATTTGAAAAAATGTTTCTTTTTCTGAGTCCAGAACTAAGGGGCACTGTTTCAAAAATTTAGAAGAAATTTAAATCTAATTTTTAGAAAGAGATGACGAGAATTCTTTTTTTTTTCCTCTGAGAGGGCTGTGCAACTTTGGAGCACACTGCCTCAGAAGATGGTAGAAGTGGGGTCATTGAATATTTTTAGAACAGAGGTTGACAGATTCTTCAGGGGTAGGAGAATCAAAGGTTATCAAAAGTAGATGGGAATATGGAAAACACAAAAAGATCTACATTGGTCTCACTGAGTGGCAGAGCAGGCTCAAGGGATCAAATGGTCTGGTGTGGAACGTGGGAGGGATTGAGCCAGTGATGATGCTCCTATACGTCCGCTGATTCCACTTTTCTAGGTGGTAGAAGCTGAAGGTTTCCTGATTTGTGCTTTGTCAATTACGGACAAGCTTTTGGAAGTCTAGAGATTAGTTACTTGTTATAAAATTCACAGCTTCTGATCTGCTCCTGTAGCTACAGTATTTATACTGATAGTCCATTTAGGTTTCCAGTCAGTAGTAACTCAAAATATTGGTGGTGATGGATTCAGAGAAGATAAGGCCATTGAATGTAATGGGAAGATATTTACCTTGTGCTTGCATTTATGTTACAGGTTTCACCAAGCCTGAATATCGTCCAGGGCACAGGCTGCCTCAGTATCTGAGGACTTGTGAAGGGTACTGAACACTGTAAAATCATGAGCAAGCATCCCCACTCTTGTGGAAGGAAATTAATATGAGGCAGCTAAAGCTGGGCTTAGGGCACTATACTGAGGAACCCTTACAATTATATCCTTTGGCCAAACTGTACAATTACGTAACAAATGTTTACATCAATAATTTCCAACACCAATGTGAACATAGCAAGTCAGAATGGGCCAAAAATTGAGACAAAAATAGGATATAAAAGGGTTGACAATCAGAAGCAAGATTTAGAAAAAGGCACAGTGTTTTATAAACAGGAAGTGTGTACAGATCTAAAAGTTTAAATACAGTACTAGTTGATCTCCCCTGAGACAGCACACAGAAAGCTTCTGGTAGAAAAAGACACGAGGGGCAATTTTTTTTACACAGATGGTGGTTTGTATGTGGAATGAACTTCCTGAGAAAACGGTGAATGTGGGTACAATTACAACGTTTAAGAGACATTCGGATAAGTACGTGAATAGGATAGGTTTGGAGGGATATGGGCCAGGAGTAGGCAGGCAAGATTAGTTTAGTTTGGGATTATATTCAGCATGGACGGTTAGATTAAAGTGCCAGTTTCCATGCTGTATGACTCTTTGACTCTATAAAAGCAGAAAGGGTATGGATGGCATCAAGAAGAGCACTGGAAGAAAAAAATTTCAATGATGGTCACTGAAAAAGCATGGATAAGAATTTTGGCATTGCTGGGATTGAGGTAACAGCATAAAAACAGAAATAGTCAATCTTAGTGATTCACATGTGTCTAATTAAACTTAAAATTAAATGGGACACCAAGATTGTACAATCTCCTGTTTAGCCTATGCAAAGAGTTAATTAGAGGACTTAAATCAGGAACAAGAATGGTGAGTATTTCATGGGAATGGAATAAGAATGATTTTGTCTTGCTGATGTTAAGTTAAAGAAAGCTCAGGTTATTCCTGAATTGATGTCAAACAAACATAGTAGTTTATGATAGTAGATCAGTACATGGAATCTGTATGATGGTAAAGAGCTGGAACGAAATAATGTTAGCACAGATACAGAAGCAAATTGAATGCCTGCAGATGTCATCAAGGCAGCATGCAGATGAGGAATACAAGAAAGGCAAGGATTGGATTTTTGTTGCTGGGCAGACATTTTTGGCAAGGAAGTAATCACTAACATATAAATCACATTTCCTAAACTACCTTAATATTTAATGAATCAATGCATTTTTCTTTGAAGAACAGAAACAATAATTTTGTTTTCTCTCTTATTATGTGTACATTTAGGTAAATTCAGCTGCCAATTAACCAAACAGAGACATTAAAATCTCTTTCACAAAAAGCAATTGATTTCTTAAATTTTGTCATACTGAAGCATACGATACCTCAACTGCATTTCAATATTCAGACTGTGCAAAAAGTGTCCACCGAAAGCCAAGCAGTCCACTGGAGTCAATGTTGCATAAATCCAGCCTATTAACAAAATAATACATACTTATTACCATTCGGTCAGAAGATATTCTTGCAGAAATGTGGTTGTCTTGCTGGCCTGGGTATCAGATATAATTTCCATGAACTGAAATTTTTCAAATTTCAATTCTTTCACATGAATGAAAAACATGATCCTCTTTGCAAGTACAAAATCACATTATACATTCAACAACTGCAGCACATCCACAAAACCTTGTGGCACATGTGGTTGTATCTCGTATTCTGGATAACCATTTGGTGAAGGACAGTACAGGAGCCAATCTTTACTCAGTTCTTTATTTGTTTTCAGAGTTAAATATTACAAAAATCGCCCTGAAATCAAACACACCACAGTTTCAATAAGTGTCAGTTTCTATGTGCTCAAAGTGAAACCCCAGTTAATACCCACCACCTATGTAACATTTAACATAATTAATATACAATTAAAACTATATAACAAGTAAGACAGAAACTAACTTTTAGAATCTAACATTTAGTAATGAACACAACCCTCCAGTTATTTTACCTTTTAACCACAATAAATGAATAAAGGAAAATCTACCTGCTCTCCAATCACTCCTGTTAGGATATGCCATATCTAATTCAGATTTGTATAAAAATACATTCCCTATCATGTAGCGTTAAATGTTTGCCACCTAAAGATTCCTGATACATGCTGTAAGACTTATTTATACTTTATCAATATACAGTGCAGATCCATTATAACATTGTCAATATACTGCAAATTCACTTACAGTGGGGGATGTTCTCATGATTTTCAAAAGAAGTAAATATTTACCTGAAATTTAACTTTGCTTATTAAACATAAAAGAAAACAGGTGTTTGCTTATTAACACCATCAAACTCTAAGCAGATTTCATTTTTGGACCCCAACATCCAGATTATAACAATTTCCACTGTACGTATGTAGCTAAACAAGCAACATGCATTCTTTTATTGTAACAATTTACGATATTAATACCTTATTTATCCAAGCAGTTCTAATTCTTTTGAATTACTGCTTCATGCATCCAGCTGCTTCCCAGATTAATAGATATATCATTTATTAATTACTCCTGCAACAATCTAACGAATACAGCATTAATGCTACTTCAATATGGTACACGCCTTGTGGAAAGATATTAATTGTTTTACCTCCCAAAAAATTCAAATGACATAAAAGCATAAATAAGATTAAAGCATATCATGGTGATTAACATGATATACAACCCCTTGGATTCTTCCCAATTTCCCACCTTAGTGCACCATTTTCAAATTACAGTGGTGAAACATTATACCTGAAGGAATAAACAAACTCTGTCCTTGTTTCAGGGTGCATTTGTAGCACTTGTCCACTTGATCTGCAAAAAACATTTCACTCTGATTCGACGACGAACTCCATCTTTCATATAAAGCAAGGTTTGCAGAGGTTGACTTAATCAAATAAAAAATTTTCTCTCCCTGCAGAGACAAGATATAGCATACTTAATACTAAACATATTCCTTTTGCCAGATTGCAAATGAATTTTGTGCTATATAATTTTCAGTAACCGGTTCATTCTTAACATCCTTAAAGCAATAAAATATCCAAAGCATATTTCCACAGATACCAAACAATGATGAAAGAAAACATCAGTGGAGATGACTGAAAACATGGTTAAAGAGGCAGGTCTCAATGATAACAAAAATGGGGAAAGCCTACAGAAAGTCAAATAAATTTAAAGGAAATAGATCTGAGACAGCATAAGGCTTGACTAGTTGACTTAATTGAATGGAAATACAAGCTCTTTAGTTCTATGTTTTTCTGACTTGTACTCACTGTGAGTACCCCAACAAAATCAGGATCAGCCTCTGACTCCAGAAGATTGTTTGAGCTGGCTGGAATGGAGTTGAAGTTGTGTTCTTAGCTTTCAGAAAAAATTTTAATCAAGAGTTATTTTACTCCCTCCCATGTAACATAACGCATTTGATAGTGATTGGACAGAACTGCCTTGCTGTTTTTAAAGCTTCTCAAAGTCAATTAGGAACAAGTATATAATAATTGTATATGTTCTTAGTGCTCTGTGCTTCACAAGAAAAGTTTTAGTTTTTACTCCAATGTGCTGTTTTACATTGCTGTGCTTATTATAAAGTTGGCATACAGTTCCACTTGTAAGTAGGTATTTTTCTTGTTTAAAAATTCATCTTCAACTTACACGTAGAAGATGGTACCAAGCAGAAGAGCCCCCGGAGCCTATGTGAAAGTCTGTGTAGCTGTCCTTTACACCAATTTGGCAATATTTTGTAACTTTTGGCTTTTCAAAAAGCGAATCATCATGCCATAAATTATCAACCCAGGACAATTTCTTGACAACTTCAGGAGCTTCAACCAAACTAGACATTCTGCAAAAAACAACAATACAGGAATGCAAATCTGAGTTTTTGTTAAAATCCATTTTTCAGTTAAGATTTTTTTATAAACTCTCACTGTTACCCTTTTGTTCCTTAACTAGATAAGCATTGGGTTTGATATACCTTGAGCTATAATAACTCTGAACTATTAAAACTTAAACTAATGCCTTAACTAAATGTTATTCTACCTGTGTTTGCTCTTCAATTGCTGTCACTTCTACATCAAAGAACATCAGTCCATGTTTAGGATTTCTCAAACATAATTATTAATGAAAAGCATTTTAAATCAACATACTTGGATATAGTATGACACATCTCCCGGACAGGTGAAACTTGAACCCGGACCTTCTAGCCCCGAGGCGGGGTCTCGACTAATGCATCATAAGAGTCCTAACACGATAATTTTTTAAAAAATCAACCTGTTCAGGCATGTTACGACACATCTGAAGCAGAATGGAACTGAACTGTGATCTTCTGGTCTAGAGGCAAACTGTGCCACAAGACTTTAATTATTAAATATATTTTATTCATTATGAATCTCAATTCTTCTTGACAATTTTTCTCAGAACCAAATGAGAACAGCATTCTTCTATGAACACAAATAAGCACTGTGTCTGGTTAGATTCACTAAATTAATTAAGCACACGATGGATTAACGATCACCCATCATAACATCTGAATAACTAGAAAGAATAGTCGAAGGCTAGAGCCATACAACTATCATAGTTGTGCCAACTCTGTGCAAGTGTAACTAATTCAGTCCTACTCCACTGCCCTTTGCACCATAGCCCCACAGCACGTTGCTTTTGAGACAAATATCCAATACTGTTTGAAAGCAACAATGGTACCTGCCTCCATCATATTCTAAGGCTGTGCACTCCTCGCCCTAACCACATATTTCTTGAAAGATTTTCCTCATGTTATTTTGGTTCTTTTGCCATTCACATTAAATTGGTGTCCTCTGCTTCTCAACCCTTTCCCTAATTGGAACTATTTCTCCCTATCTATTCTGTCCAGACTCCCTTTGTTTTTGGCACCTCAATCAAATCTCCTCTCAACCTTCCCTTCTCTTAGAAGAACAGACCCAGCTTCTTTATCTTAATAAATGGAATTCCTCATCCCTGGAATCATTCATGTAAGTCTTTTCCACAAACTTTCTAATACCTTCATATCCTTCCCCAAGTATGGCGCCCCAAGTTGGAAACAGTACTCCATTTGATGCCAGCCAGGGTTTTATGATGTTTCGCCATAAGCTCCTTGCTTAGGTACTTTATGCTTCTGTTTCTAAAACTAGGACTCTGCACTTATCATTAATCACTTTTTCAGCCTTTCTACCACTTTGAGTAACTTATGAACATAAAGTTTCAGGTCCAGTTGCTCCTCCACCAACTTTTTAAAATTGAACCTTTTGTTATATATTGCCTCTCTTCTTCTTCCTAGCAAAATGCATTTCTTCATACTTCTCTGTATTAAATTACATCTGCCACTATCCTTTTATAATTTTTACGTATTTTTGTTATGGATTATTAACAGCGAAACAACATTGAGAAATGGTTTAATTATGCAATAACGTTACATTTACAAAACATACTTTGTATCTGAAAATTCAAGGTTAATCACATTAAGAACTCTCTTCCGGTTTGCACTATAGTAGTAGTCAACAAATTCCTTGATGGTCAACTTGCAGGTCTTCTGTTTTGTGACATCTACAACATCAATAACTCTGTCTGGGCCTAGAAAATAAAATGAGAATATAACAAAACATGTCTATAAAGGACTGTAAGCTCTTACCATAGGATAAAATAAGAAAAATATCAAAGGAAATGGTCTCTCTAGTATTAAAAGTCCAAAGTGAAGTTATGTAAAATATGAACCACCAAACAAAAATTATTTCAAATGAATTTATTTTGATTCAATCCTCATTAATTTAACCACTGGTCAATATTTGCCATAAAATCACATAAGAAAGGGACACAAGAATAATTAAAATGCATACCAAGAGAATGAAACACCAAAGAAAGTAGTAACTTCACCACCAATCACTAACTTAACATTGATCCAAAAGGAGAAGCAGATAGTAAGCACAATATAACATATTATATAGGTTATCATTGGATATTGGATAAATATTTTAACAGTATTTAGCGTAAACAGAGAAGCAAAAGGTTATTCTGATGTCTGCACTTCATCTTGTATATGAAAGATACAAAAAAACAGACAGAATCTTATATGGATCAGAGCGACCTGGGCTTGGCGAGATGTGCAGTAAGTTTAAGTGACAAGACCGGTGAGGCCCATCTCAACGTCAATCATCTCGCTCCATCTTTTATGTTCTTCATAAGCAACTTGACTAGTTTCTCGCAAGGCGGCAGCAAGATGCCAAATAATGGTGATTAATATTTGTTAAACAACTTGTAAGTGCCACCACTATCTTCATTAACATTCAGCCTGCCATCTTGCCAAACAAGTTCTACTTTGGGAAAACTTGACAAAGAAACCAGAATGAGCATCTGGCTAATTCAGCTTGCCATTTGCTCTGAATGTGGCAAACTGGGCACCAACATCTCGGACACACTCCATAGGCACTGGCCACATATACCACACTTCCACGAACATTGGCATCCGACATGTACCGGCCACTAAGAACCCTCACGGCATATCTCCAATCAGCTTACAGGACACTTTTGCAATTCAATGCTGCACGTCAGGCCGCACCAGCAACTATCACTGTATTGCTGCAGCAAGGACACTGTACACAGGGACCCTCACCCAGATCATGGACTGGACCAGACTGCATGTGCGAGCTCTTCATTTGTTCTCATAGAGTTCACTCACTCTTTGCTCACAGCATCCCTGTCATGCCTTTTCATGTTTTTCCTGCTCACCCAAGATTCTAGGCTCTTATAACTCTGTCCTATTGTTCTGTTTAGCACAGACACAAAGCCTGGAAGCTTCTCATTGTTGACAGCAAGCCCAGTCAAGTCAAGGGGGATATAGCCTTTGCTCAGGGGTTCTTGGTACAGTAAGCTAAAGGCAGTCTCTGATATCAATCCAGGCCTTGCTCTGGGTGGTCAGAGAAAGGAACTGGGCCTCAAAAGGAGTAGGCTGCCAAATGATGGGCTGCACACCACTCATCTTAATTGATGTTTTTTGCCATTTGGGGGGAATTTTCCTCCTGTAATTAAAGAGGCAGGTATCACAGGAGATGAAAATTGGTGGCGCAGCTGTTGGTGTTGGTGGGAATGTGTCCCAAGTTAGTGTGCAGGCAGGGCAAAGGTCATGGAGGGCTAGGGTGTCAAGGAGCACGGTGGGTGAGAATCAGTGGGAAAGATGTCGCACACAATAATGAGAGTGGTAGAGATGAGCATTGGTGGATGGTCAGTACAGTAGCAGAAGTAGAGTGTGAGATATCAGAGGGAAAATGATAGTTTATGCCTTTGGAGGAGGAGTGGAGAAGGACATTGATCTCCTTCCTATATTGTTGGGTATTCCTCCAGACAGCTGAGGCAGCACTGATGGAGGTGGCAGTCTTGGACCCAGCTGGCACAATTTGGTGCTGTGGCCTCCATTGCTGTTTGTAGGGGATCAGCATGTCCTTTGTCAGCACCCATCCATCTTGCAGGAGCTCCAAGTGCCTGCCTGTACAGGGGGTACCAATTTCCCCCTATTTGTCATGTCAGGGTCAAACGTCAGCAACTGTTCAGGCAGTTCTTGTCCTGCTGCACAACAGGCTTTTAAAGATGGCATAGGGTGAAGTTAAGCCAGTAAATGCCAGAATATCCATGTGTCGAATTGTTCCAGGAACACATGTGGAAGATGGGCTGGAAATCAGACATGAGAAATGCCATAGGGGTGTCATTATTTTAATTAATGAGGCGAGTTTGGTAAGATAGGTCATGAGAGCTCACTAGATATCGCAGCAACAAAACCTCCAAAAATCTCAACGCAACTCAGACTTAGCCAAAAACACATACGATTCAGGCATTTGAGTATTAGAAATCTGTACTTAAATTAAAAAATATTCAGAATCTACACTAGATTTTGAAAGTGAGGTCAACCTTTCAGCAAAATTTGTTTGAAAGGTATTTTAAAAGCTGAAGAAAACAAAAAAGGAAATCTTGTTTTATACAAGATTTAAATCAAATATAAAACAGATCTTTACAATTATTTGATTTTGTCAGAAGACTCTAATTACTTATGACCTCAGCTTTATATTCTCCCATTATGACTCCTGGTTGCTTAAAGCAGTTATTTGGATTATGCTGATTTGAAACATGCAACATATTTGATCATAATTTAATAAAAATAGAGATTATGGATTAAGGGGATGATGTGAACAAAATTAACTTTTGTTTTTTTATGGCATTTCGCAATGAAACAGCTCCTATAAACCAGTTTTCACCGATGAACACAGCCATGGACTGAATCTTACTCTCCTTTTGGCTAAGTGTCAATTTCATCGATTTCATGGAGGGTTTCTTTCCATGAGACCTAGCATTTTTTTTATCGTGTTATTTTCCAAATGATGCCTCATTAACTACCTACACCATCCCAGTGGCACCTCTAATGTCTGAAGTTAAATGGACTTTACAAATCCTACTCGCTACTACCTGGATACCCTGGAATATACCAGTATCCATGGCACACTTGCCACTTTCAAAACACCACTATACACATGGACAAGACCAACAGTCTAGAGTTGCCTGCATGGTTTGTAACATATCCCCTTACCCGGCCGGTAAGGGGAAACTGCCTTCTCACTTTGCAGACAGGCACCTGGAGTTCCTATTGAATGGGGTGTTGCAGTGGGGGAATGTCCTCCTCCCCAGGAATGGAGACAAGGCTGTGCCATCAGACCATGCAAGCCTAGTCCAAGGTTGCCACCCAGGTTATTGCGGTCTCAAACATCTGGAGGAATGCCCAGCAGTGGAGGAAGACGGTCAATAATGTTATCCACTCAGCCAGAGTAAGTGCCATTATCTTCTCTCTGACACCTCATACTTACTCCTTCTCTGCTACTGCACTTATCTTCCATCAAGGCTCATACTCTATCTTTCCTACTATGATATGCAACACTTCCACACTCGCTCTCACCCACCCTCCTAACCCTGTATGGTCTCTGCACTGCTTACTCACTTACTTTGGACACCTCGCCACATTCCCCACCAGCACTCACAGCTGTGCCACCCATTTTCGTCTCAATGTCTCCCCTTCTCTCATTTCAGGAGAAAACAGCCCTCACAAAGGCTGCAAAGAAGGGTGGTGGGCTGTCAAATATTTGGCTCCTCCCCCGTTTGAGGACAGAATCCTTACCCTGACTGCCATGAATGACCGTGCCCAAGTCTCTGGAGTTATATCGGAGGCTGCCCTTAACTCACTGTGCTAAGACCCTGCTGAGTCTCCCATGACTTGACTGAGGACTGCTGACGACCATGACAAGCTTCTGGCTTTGTGCCTGCACTAGGTGGCAAGGCAAGACAGGAGGACTGTGAATCTAGTCGCTCTGGCTTAGAGGGGAAAGCACAAAAAGACAAGGCAAGGCAAGGCAAAACAAGGATGTTGTGAGCATCCAGGTAGTCTTAAAGTAAGTCAACACTAAGACAGGAAGTGAACAGCCCTGAGATGCAGTTTGGTCCAACCATTCCCTTTGTCCCTGAGCATTGGATTGGTAGCTGCTAGTGTGCTCCAAAGTGCAGTTTCAACTGCAGAACCATCCTTTGGGAAGATCAGAGAGGTACCTTAAGGGTCCTGAGAGGCTGGCTGATGTCGGAAGCCAGCAACCATAGATGGGGTGTGAGTGTGGTCGATGCTCTGGAGCATCCTCTGAGATGTTGTTGCTGCTGTCCAAGAAGGTGGTGCAGAGAAGCAACAGGTGAGCTGAAGTCCCCAGGTACCTGCTGTGATAGTTGACGATGTCTAGTTTCCTCACAACAGCTGCTAGGATAGGAAGCTACATATTAATAAGGCACAATTTGCAGTTAATGAAGCCGCTAACATGCAATAATTCCTGCTAACAGGCATCGCGCCATTCCCTACTGAGAATCTTATACTGACATCTGGAATTTAATTGAAAAATGTGGTTATTGCTCCTGATATTGTGAAAGGCCTCACTGGACTTCTCACACAATTCTCCCAAATTTCCATAACTCACACCATTCAGGGCCCTATAAGGTTCAGCCACTGCATTTGCAACTTGTACACATGCCAGACATAAAGCTATTTTTTGTTGTACAACAACGTTCATTATTCAACCTTGCAGAATAAGACTACTTTGCATAAAATACATGATAATTAAGTGGTGAAAATAAATAGAACAAAACATATTCTCGGCTGAGGGTACATTATAATGTAAGGAAGGAAATTATTCTTTGCACTTTCTTCTCTTTCAGCATAACATAACCTGTTGATAAGTCAAATACTTACCAACATAATTTTCAAGGTCACTAACAGAAAATGTCAGTGGTGGCAAACTTAATCCCAAACCGTCCTTCTTTGCAACCAAAATAGGTCCAGTAAAACCATTTTCTTCCAGAAATCCCAAGGATAGTTGAGTTCCAGTCAGCCTTTGAATAACCTCTTCCGCACTAAACAAATAAATAAATTTGCTTCAATTCAATAAAAGCTTTTGATAGAAATTGTTACTTTAACTACGCTCTCTATTTTTCTACATCTTACGTAAAGAACTAACATGTGTGTTTTGAATAGAGGTCCAGTTGTTTATAGTTATGTTCTTTGCCATATTTTCACAATGAATATTCTGGTCAAAGTCCATATAATAATCATAAAAAAGGCAAATTACTTACTATTAATCCCCATTTTTGAATTAAATCTTGGGCTGCACTTATTCATGGGATTACAGGCCAATTGATCAAAGCAAACAAGGAAAAGCTATTCAGTATTTCTCAATGTCTTTAAATACTGCTGGCATGTCATGCGAGCAGATTACCTACCAAATAACATCTACCCTAAATCAGCTTTAGAACAGTCGGCAAATAAAAACTCAAACTGATGAATATTTCAATGGAATAGAGAGGAGTAACAGAATGCATTTCATAGAATCATAGAGCCATTACAGTGCAGAAGGAAACCATTCAGCCTTTTGAGTCTATGCAGCTCCCTGAAGGAAAATCAAAAAACCAGACGTCCGAGCACATTAGGAACGCCACTGTCTCCAGTCTGAAAAACAGCTATTTTTCACCATTTGCTGCTTTGTGTCCTAAAACCATTTTTATACCCAAGCTGACACTGATCCTCCTAGTTCATGAGCCTCAATTCTGTTCTCCAGAATGTTACAAGGTACTTTGTCAAACACTTTCTTAAAATTCACAAAGACAACATCCACTGTATTCCATATATCCATCTTCTCAGTTACATCTATCAAAAAGTTCAATTTTTATTTTTCTTCATTAAAGGGAATATGGACATTACTGGCTCAGTATTTATTACCCGTCATTCATTCATGTTTTCTTTGTGTATACCAAAAGGATTGCAGACTGTAATTAGTTCACAATTTTTCCAAGGTTCAGAGGGATGGAGAATGGTCAAAGAGTTCTTTTTATTAAATACCCTGACGACAGGAATGATGAAGGAATATTGGACCAAATGAAGGCGATCTAATCAAGTTAATGTGTCACTGATTGCTAAAGATGTAAAGGATACTTATGTAATCAATCATACATTTAAATCTAACAGATTTCTTCTTCCCCCAAACCTGAAAGAAAAACGCCATTAAGTCCTGATCAATTCTTTATCTGGAAGAAGGTAAAGGAAGAGGTTTGCAAAAGCACACCATATCTGAAAAAAAGGATATCCACACATACATCATCTATTCTTCAAATGTCTTGATGTCAGGCATTTCAATCTCCAAGTACTTAAATGAAAAGTTGGCATTTAGCAATCTGACTGGAAGGAAAATAAATCATTCTTCTGATCATCAACTTACGTTCCCATTTATGACTTATATCTGCTTGCAATGCAACATTCTGGTATTTTGTTATCATTGAAATGTCAGGTAATGCAAAATATGTCAGTTGCTGATGATCAGAAAATCATCCTCAATGGGAAAATTGCCAATTTGGCTACAGCTGCGCCATGTTCTTGATGAAATCAGGTTCTGCTTTGTTGAGTTAAATTGAATTTTAGTCGCGTACTTTATATTTTTAGCTTCAAAGTGGAAGAACGGATCAACAACTTCCTCATGGAAAGTTCAGCTTGCACACTGCGACTGTATCAGAAAAATTGGCATATTCCACTGAACAGACTGTGTCCTATGGAACAGCATTTTTCATGAAATAGTCAATATACTGACCAAAGGATGAAACTACAGGCAGGGTTTCAACCCTGCATGGATGCAAGCACCAAGGCAGTCAAAAATTCATGCATTGGTCAATATCTTGGTTTGCTGGCCTCATTTCCAACCACCTCCCCCCCACCCTGCCCAGGCCTTTTTCATGGAGGCAGGTTTGGAATCAGCAGAGTTACCAACCTAGCAGGTCATTAATGAAGGCTCATTAAAGATTATTTAAGCCAACTGTCAGACTTTTCCAGTCGGTCTGTAGACCAACCCCACCACCCTGTAAGGGACTGGAAAATCAGTAGGGCAATGTATAAGAAAGGCTTTGAAGTCACTCATGACTGAAAACAACAAATGTGGGTCAGACAGCATCCATGGAGAGTCAGAAAGCTAATATTTTGAGTCTAGATGACTCTTCACCAGAGCCCAGAAGTCACCCAATTTGATGGGTCTTGACTCTTGCCGTAGGCTAGCCTTGCGGCATGATGTTCTTCTGCTATGCTGAGAGCAGTTCAAATTTAAAAGTTTAAAATACTGGAGAGAAGATGAGGCAGGCTCTCTCTCTCTGTCTCTCTCTCTCTCTCACCTGACATGTTAAGTTCCTCTATGTTTGAATGATAGCCTTGAAACGTTAGTAACTACAATGTGAAAGAAGCTTCTTATGAGCTGGAGAACCTCCCAATGTTTCTCCAGCATCAAGAGCCTGCCCAACAATCTTGATCAGATTGGCCATTAATTAGTTTCCCAGTTCAGGAAAGTCATTACAGAGTGACAGGTCCCCACGTTATGCAGAAGTGTGACCACCATTTGATCCCAACAATGAGGTCCTGATTGGGTACAGGGTCATTAATGTGCTATACCTTGGAGATCGATTCAGTTACCTAGTCCTGCAGAAGTATTTTCTGCCGTAACCTCCTGACAACGCCACTTAAACCACAATAAAACAGGCAAAAACTAGAATAGTACACATGCAAAGATGGGAAATGCATCACTTATGCATAATAGAGGACCTAATTCACCAATCTGCAGGTACCACTTTTTCATTGTCTTTGAAACTTTTCATTTTAAGTGACAAGCTAAGTTCCTCTGTGGTTGAATGATAGCCTTGAAAAGCTTGTAACTGCAACATGAAAAACACTTTTTATGCAAAACAATAAAGGATATAAGATGACTAATTTATAGCAAGAAAGCTCAAAATCAAGAACAGTTGGAATATTATCAGTTGCTCGAATAATTTTCTCTGGTTTGCTTTGCTCAATGAAATGTTACACCTTCTTTCTCAGGTAGCAAGGTGGCAAACAATAAAACTGGAGTATAATCTTTACACAAATGCAAAATATTGAACTGCTGAAAAATAATCTCTGTTTCTCTCCAAAGATGCTATCTGACCTGACCAGTATTTCCAGCATTTTCTCTTTTCACTTCTAGTCTTTACACAATTATAAGCTTTTATTCACACAGAAATACATTGAATTCATGCACCTTCAAATCAAATCGCCAGAATTTCAGTCAACTCATATATAGGAGCACAAGCGAATCCCCAGTTAATTCTTACTACATGAATACAAATAAGCACTCAATTAAAATTCATGTACCTCACACTGTAAGTTGTTTCCATTAGTCACACTACTTGCATAACTGTGGTGCTTTTGGCAAGTAATCTAATCAAGATCTTGAGATAAATAAACTAATACTCAGTTGAAATATTCTAATATACAACATATGCCTATCCACAAAATAACGACTAAGTTGTACAAATAAAGGCAACTAGATTTGTTATAAGCAGACCATATTTCCAAAAATACACAGAATAAAAATGTGATTTAGGAGAGATTTTCACTATATCACTCAACTTACATGCAGAATATGACACATTATGGAATTGGATTTCAAGGGAGGCAGTAAAGAACATAGAACAATACTGCATGGGAACTGGCCCTTTGGCCCTCCAACCTTGCGCTAACACATTTTGCCTTTCCATAGTAAAACAGTCTTCATTTACAGGATCCATATCCCTCTATTCCCTTCCTATTCATGTATTCGTCCAGGTGCTTCTTGAATGCTGCTATTGTGTCTACTTCCACCACCTCCTCTGGCAACGCATTCCAGGCACTCACCACCCTTTGTGTGAAAAACGTGCCTCGCATCTCTCTTTTAAACTTGCCCCCAACCCGCACCTTGAAACTTTGTCACCTGATAAGATTGATTATGTCAGCAAGTTCAGGAGATAATTAGCTAAGTCATACTGAAACACTTGTTAAAACATTATACACATTATTGTGAGATATGATTTTCCTGGACGTTTAGAACAGCAAATACCCACAGGGGTCTTTTCTGAATTTGTATATTCCAACTTCTGTTGACTATGGATCCTGCAAAATTGAGTTTTACCATTCAATGATTAATAAAGTAAAACTGCAGAATAAAAGTAAATAAACTAACTTGCAATAAATTCCAACTCATAACTGATGGATCCTTTTTTGCTATTATTTTATCGTACTGTATGAACTGCTGACAGTGTAAACTGAATTCTATAGAAAATCAGCATTCTTTAGTGCTAATATTCAGCTTTTGAAAAGTAAGTTTTATACATTAATTAACTTTACATTCATTTAAAACAAAATCTCGTTGGAAGAATTACACGGTTGATTAGATACTTGTCTTATTTTGCACTATACAAGTGCAATCTTCAACAGGAGAAAAGTATCTTATTCGACCAGAGTAAATATAGTTTGCTTAATTAACAATTTCAAATAAGATATCTACAATAATTATGGCAATTTGCTCATTATGCATTACAAATTCAAAACAGTTAATGAAGAGATAAATACATTTTGTAGCTATTAAATTTAACTTATTAAATGTCATTCAAATTTCTCAGATTAAATAATGATGGATTCTCGTAACAAATAAAAATTTAAACAATTTGTACATTCAGTAATTCCTCATAAGCAAATACCTCTCAAGGGAAAATTCCTACCTGGGGAAGGTCCGGCTTCGGAGCTCTTTTATGAACACTTGGCTTCCATTCTGAACTGGTCGTGTAATATCCACAGTATGTATCGGCTCATACTTCTGCTTTTTCTTTTTCACTATAAAGTATAAAGAAGAAAATACTGTGCTGAAAACAATGAGTAAACCATTACAGCAGTCAAACATTACCATTTAATTGCGATGTAACATGAAAAGAAAGCTCTGATGGGGACAAAAGTGTCAAAAGCTCAAGTGTTTTCAGTAAGTGTCGTCCATGGCTCTCAAATGTCCTCAAGTACTTTACAGCTGATTAAGTACTTTTGAAGTGTAGACGCTGTTTGTAATGTAGGAAAGACATCAGTAAATGTACACCCCTGCAAATCCACAAATAGCAACAAAATAAATAGCCAGAGCATCTTTTTTAAGCTTTGGTCAAGGGATCAACGTCAGCCAGAACACCAGGATATCTCTCCACCTCTTATGTGACTCATGATCTTTTACATGTATCTCAGAAGTGAGACAGGTCTCAGTTAGTATCTTATCTGAAAGACAGCAATTCCAAATAAGTGAAGCACTCTCTCAAATAAAATGCCATCCTGGGTAATGAGGACAAACTGATAGCGTGGGTGTTGAGTCATGCCATTTCTGCTCCAAAGTGATAGTGAAACCATTTAACAACAATAACAACTGTTTGAATGTCAGTTATTCTTCCTTCATTAAAGATAGTTATCCTTTAAATACCAAGGGTAAATCAAGTCAATCTAATAGTGGAATCACACTGAGTTCTTTCATTTCCCGCAGATTGGAAAACAGCCAATGTGAAGCCACTCTTTAAAAAAGGAAGTAGACAAAAAGCAGGTAACTATAGGCCAGTTAGCTTAACTTCGGTAGTGGGGAAAATGCTTGAATCTATCATTAAGGAAGAAATAGCAAGACATCTGGATATAAATTCTCCCATTGGGAACACCCAGCATGGGTTCATGAAGGGTAGGTCATATTTAACTAATTTGGTGGAATTCTTTGAGGACATTACTTGCATGGTGGACAACGGGGAACCTGCGGATGTGGTGTATCTGGATTTCCAGATGGCATTTGACAAGGTGCCACACCAAAGGCTGCTATATAAGATAAAGTTTCACGGTATTACAGGTAATGTATTGGCATGGATAGAGGATTGGTTGACTAGTAGAAAACAAAGTAGGGGTAAATGGGTGTTCTTCTGGTTGGCGGTCAGTGGCTAGTGGTCTGCCTCAGGGATCAGTGTTGGGACTGCAATTGTTTACAATTTACATTGATGATTTGGAGTTGGGGACTAAGTGTGGTGTGTCAAAATTTGCAGATGACACTAAGGTGAGTGGTAAAGCAAAGTGTGCAGAAGACACTGAAAGTCTGCAGAGAGACACAGATAGTCTAAGTGAGTGGGCAAAGGTCTGGCAGATGGAGTACAATGTTGATAAGTGTGAGGTCATCCATTTTGGTAGGAATAACAGCAAAATGGACTATGTTTTAAATGGTAAAAAATTGCAGCACACTGCTGTGCAGAGGGACTTGGGTGTCCTTGTGCATGAATCGCTAAAAGTAGGATTGCAGGTGCAGCAGGTAATTAAAAAGGCAAATGGAATTCTGTCTGCCATTGCCAGAGGGATGGAGTTTAAAAACAGGGAGGCTATGCTGCAGCTGTATAGGGTCCTGGTGAGGCCACACCTGGAGTACTGTGTACGGTTTTGGTCTCCTTACTTGAGAAGGGATATACTAGCACTGGAGGGGGTGCAGAGGAGATTCACTCGGTTGATTCCAGAGTTGAGAGGGTTGGATTATGAAGAAAGACACAGTAGGCTGGGATTATACTCATTGGAATTCAGAAGAATGAGGGGAGATCTTATAGAAACATATAAGATTATGAAGGGAATAGATAAGGTGGAGGCAGAGAGGTTGTTTCCACTAGCAGGTGAAACTAAGACTAGGAGGCATAGCCTCAAAATAAAGGGAAACAGATGTAGGGCTGAGTTCAGGAGGAACTTCTTCACCCAAAGGGTTGTGAATCTGTGGAATTCCCTGCCCAGTGAAGCGGTTGAAGCTACCTCGCTGAATGTTTTTCAGGCAAGGCTAGATAAATTTTTGAACAGTAAAGGAATTAAGGGTTATGGTGTGCGGGCGGGTAAGTGGAGCTGAGTCTCAAAAAGATCAGCCATGATCTTATTAAATGGCGGGGCAGGCTTGAGGGGCCAGATGGCCCACTCCTGCTCCTAGTTCTTATGTTCTTATTTCAAGAGGTCATCTGGTATCAAATCATTTCTGTTTTCCCACACACTTCATACATGGTGTGTAATTTTGTTTGGTGCCCTGTACATTTGCTCCCCCTGAGATAATTCTGCTTCCATTCACTTTGCCTGAGACTGTATAGTCCCTCTCCTATTGAGTTCCCTTTTCAACTGTGAGCCAGTCCCTTTATATCTGTGTATGCCTACAATAACTTTGATGTTGACAGTTTCTACTCAAGCTGATCCCAATTCACTAATGGAAGGTTTGCCAAAAGTAAGTGCACCAAATTTCAGCATTTCTTTCTGGTCTTGTACATATAAACTATTATAGTCTAGTAAATAGATTATTTCATTATTGTGGGTGCTGCCTTACATAGTTCAATTTATACATATACTGAAGTAATAACCGTGCTTTAATTTTTTATTATGCAGAAAAAATGGCAAATCCTATGCATTTGAAATTCAATAACACTTACATTAAGAACTAGCTTATTTTTTATCTGACCTTATGCTTAACTATGTGGACTGTGATGGCATCAATGAGTAAGTAAATAGAACAAATGTATTTTAAGAAAGGACAATTTGGGACTGTACAAACATTAAAGCACAATACGGAGAAATGGTGAAACCAAACTATAGTCTGGGGCTTTGGATGAGAGTGATGATAAGCTTGTTGGTTTAGTGATTCTTTAGCCTTATTTATCAAAATTGTGTGTGGCATGTACCAGGTAAGAACAATTTATTACAGATGTGACAGACAGAACAATGGATGATGAGATAAATAGTCTGAATAGTTGTGTTGTCCTTTGCAGGAGTAACAAGTAACAGCTTAGAAATTACAGCCTGCAATATTAGAACATATAAAGCTCATTCCGAGATGACAACTTTTAACAGCTTAATTAAATTGGGCACTTTTACCTTGATACCGCAAACAATTATTTGCAGGCCTACATTTTAAGTAATACCCAAAGCAGAAACTAAATTGATAGTTCACTTGATTGATTGAGTCACAGGCAAGCGTCTTTATACCAGGAAACCAAACTTTGAAGTCTTTCACTCAAAATGGGATCAGTGTTAGATCATGGTTAAAAACATGTTTTCTTAATGCAAACATGCCATGCACATCCACAAATAATGGTATTTGTTAGTGAAACACAAGAAAATGGACCAGTTTATTTCTTGAAATAAAGAAAGTTTTTGCTAATGTCCAATCCCAGAAAGGAAGTTATTCTACAAAACTAGAATTTGTGACTAGAACCAATAAAATTCTACAAAGAAAACCAAGTGATACTAAGTTGAATACTGCAAAATAAAAGGTACTGGCCTCCACCAACCCTGAAATTGAACTTTGACGATTTTACAATTCCTGCATGCTTCTCCCATTTAATAAAAAGTTAAGAAATCATGAAATATGTACCAACTATTATACAACATTCACGACTTAAATATATGCGCTATAACAGAACCAATGTGAAATTGTTCAAGTTGTTTATGCAGGTGGAAAAAACGTACAACTCACTTAGTTTGCATGTGTTTCATTTGTTGTTGGTCATACATTTAATTCTGTACAGGAAACAGTTATGGATAATGATTTATGACTCTTCAGCTAATGGATAACTCTCCAACAAATGCAGAATTGAACAATTATCTGGTCAACCCACACAAACCTTACCAGCTGTACAATTAATATCAGTAGAAACAAAAAATAACAAGTTCCATGGCATGGTTGTTAAAAAAAAAAGTAATCATCACAGGTGGTCTTTTTCTGCACAGTCTTGATATAAAACTAACCTTTTTAAAAAAGAAAACTTATCATCAACTGATAACAAAACAAGGGCTGCTAATTCAGGCTTTAAACATAAAAAATAGATTTTAACTGTGTTTGTATTATTTGAGATGTATGTATATTGAACTCGAACAGTGTAATGACAAAATTAGAAGATATATTTCTGAAAGCAGACAATTTAAAATGTTCTTTGTTTATTGCATAATTCAATATTCAGCTAATTTGATAACTTCAGTCTATATTCCCATGACTGTCACCTGCTAACGTCCAGCCTCCTAAAGCCATCTTTGTACCTTTTCTCTTTCCTCCAGGATCCTTCCAGTTACTGGACCCTGCTGAAGACAACTCAATAAATAGTAAGAGATAGTAGGAACTGCCGATGCTGGAGTTGAGATAATAAGTTGTCCAGCTGGAGGAACACAGCAGGCCAGGCAGCATCAGAGGAGCAGAAAAGCTGACATTTTGGGTCTGGACCCTTCTTCAGAAATGGCGGAGAAGAATGGGGCTCTGAAATAAATAGAGGGGGTGGGCGGTGATAGAAGGTGGATAGTGGAGTAGATAGGTGGGAGAGAAGGCAGACAGGTCAAGGAGGCGGGGATGAAGCTAGCATAGGTGAGTGTAGGTAGGAAATTGGGATGGGGGTTGGTCAGTGAGGAGGGAGGGGCAGATAGGTGGGAGGGGGAGTTGAAGTGGTTCCAGTCGCGAACCACTTCAGCTACACCCCCCAAACTCCCTGGTCGGCATGTCTATCCTGGGCCTCCTCCAGTGTCACAACGATGCCACCCGGAAACTGGAGGAACAGCACCTCATATTCCACCTCTGAACCTTACAACCCAATGGTCTCAATGTGGACTTTACTAGCTTCAAAATCTCCCCACCCCTGACCTCATCCCAAGACCAGCCCCCCTCTTCTCATCCCCGCCTCCTTGACCTGTTCGTCTTCTCTGCCACCATCTGCTCCTCCCACCTCACTGACCAACCACCACCCCCACTTCCTACCTACACTCCCCTTTACTAGCTTCATCCACACCTCCTTGACCTGTCCATCTTCTCTCCCACCTATCCACCCCTCCCTCCTCACTGACCAACCCCCATCCCAAATTCCTACCCACACTCACCTTTACTAGCTTCAACCCCGCCTCCTTGACCTGTCTGTCTTCTCTCCCACCTATCTGCTATCACCAACGCCCCCCCGCTCTATTTATTTCAGAGCCCCCTTCTCCTCCCCCATTTCTGAAGAAGGGTCCAGACTCGAAATGTCAGCTTTCCTGCTCCTCTGATGCTGCCTGGCCTGCTGTGTTCCTCCAGCTCGACACCTTGTTATCAATAAATAGTAATCCTGCTATGTGTGCATTGTCATGTACTCCAACCTTCTCAAACAATGGGTCTTTAAAGCAGAGTTATTGCTGTCTACCTGTCAATAATGATACATTACATTTTATCAACCAAAAGGTCCTTTTCTAGTTTTGTAATTGGTTTATCCAAAGTTTGGCTTCCACAGTATGCTAGGGGGATGTTTGTGATATATTTAATTTACACCAGTGAAAAGGTCTTCTCATATCTGCAAAAATCAATTCAGGCTTGTGTACCCTAAAAATACTAGAAACAAATAGCTTGACTGATGTTGAATGTAGGTGCCACCTTACCTAATAAATGGAGAATGAACACTTATTACTATGCCATACAAGATACTTGATGCACATCATGAAATTCAACACCTCTTCACTACCATCTAATGAAGTCACTAGAATGCCAGTTTTCCAATATCACAAAATTTACAACACATTAAACCACTGGTTTCAAAAGGAGGCTGTATAAATTAAAGCAATGGTGGATTCAGATCCAAGGTTTCTGGATTCACCATCAAAAGAGTTGGCTTCCAGATGATTCTTTTGCAAATGTTGAAAATTATCAGAAATCTTCCTTCAAGCTTAGACAGGCTGTAACAGATATAGCTGTTGCATTTATAACAGCGGAACGTCATCAGATGTGAGATCTCCCCAAAGTTCTTGTATGTGCTAGAATATTTACCTTAAAGTTAGGTGTTAAATGTTTTTCTATGCTTTCAAAAGGTAGGCATTCTAGAGGCATATTAAGTAAATTAAAGTTAATCTTCATTTAAAAGGACTTCAAGCAGATTGAACAGTTGAGAGATCAAACATTCACTTTCCTTTCAAAAATATTCTACGCTTCTCCAAGCCTGGTGAGCCAATGGGAAACTCTCAGAATCTCTCAGCTGCCTGCAAAATTTTGCATTTTCAAGTCTGGTATCATGAAGAGGACAGTTTCTGGAATAACATGCCTCCTAGTGGAAAGTCAATGAGAAAACAACCGAATTGGTGGGGCCAGACAGAAGAATAAAACTTAGCAATTTCGTTTCTAGTTCTATATCTTCCTCTGTTGGTTGCTACATCAATCTGTTGGATGACTGTCAATTCCAGGAATAGAAATAATCCTATAATATTTCTAATACAGTTTAAGTTCATTCTGTAAAATTTCACATTCTTTTTAGAAAGAGGCCGTGACGGTAAACAGGTCCAAGATTGAATCTCTGGTTTTGACTGTTTCAGCTAGGTTGGGATAAAATTGCAAAATTTAACCTTAGCATTATGAGATTCCCATGATAGAACGGATGAGAACAGTAAGAAGATTAAAAGCTTGATATAGTTGATGGATTACAGGCTAGTTATGCACCATGCTAAAGTTTGTACCCCTCCATCTTCGAGAAGTAGAGGTGATACCTGTACCAGGGTTAGTGATAGAGATCAGAAATGGTGATTACTTTTATAAAATTAAGGGTACCAAAGACAAAAAGGAGAAAGACATTAGTGTGTGAATGGCAGCACTGTTTCTATTTTAATGGAGGATCAAAAGCAATGAAATTGGAATTTATAAAGTTAAATGGTGACAGTGCAAATCATCCTTTCCTTAAAAATCTCGCTTAAACATTTGTAGTTTCATATCAAAGGAACAAATTACTCCAAAATCTCTGATATCTTTTGATTCAAAATCATGACTCCAGAATCATACAAAAATTCTAATGAGACAAAATAGTCAAATTACTTACAAAGTTAACTTTTCAAAGTCTACCTATCAAGCTGGAGAAAAGTTCTAGTTTTTTTTACGTAACATAGCAGCAAACATTGATTGAAAGGGGATATGGCTTGTTACATAAATGTAAGAGAATATGCTGATCATACTTATATTTTCTAACAAAATCCAGTTGCACAACTTACTCGTAGACTGGCCATGAGTTTTTTCACAGTTTGGACAGTGATAGATATCAATATCTGGTGCTTCATCCTCTTCAACGCCAACACAGCTGTAATCATTCCAAATATAAAGACATGTTACATTTATGAAAAGCTGCATTTATTTTGAAACAATTATTTATGAATGACTTGGCTTTTGCAGTGTTTGGTTCTATCTAACCTATATAAAGAGAGAATTTTAAATTATGCAGATTAACAACAATCATAACAATAAAGGTTCACCACAATTGAAAGAGTTGGATAGATCATGACCCATATGGATCTCTGCCAAGTTAAATCAAGTCCCATGAGGTGGTAGATGTATATTGCAGCTTTTTGTCCCGGGCAGAAACCTGAAGGGATGGATCATCCAAACTTAATAGGACCCATCTGAATTTTAGTCAATTTATTTCTGCCTTTCTTAAAGGGTGTAATTTTTTACATCTGTCAATTTCCCACTTAGTAAAATACATGAAGTATTAGAAATAGAATAGAAATAACAATCCCTTGTGGCTGATAGGTCACTATTTTAATATTAAACAATAAAATGCAATCCATGTTCTAACCGGTTTGAACAAGCTTCTTTGTGAATTATGGAAAAAAAGAGAATTAAAGGTTTTCCAAATAGATAGGATAGCTGATACAACCTCAGAAATAATCCAAAATAATGAGGACAAAGATTTTAGTTCAAAATATATGAGTTTTGATTTGGCTTGTACAAGCAGAGGAAAGTTATAAACCCAAATATTCAGGAGGGCTGTGATGCCTAGAGTTGCTGCTACTATTAAGAGGGAGACAGCAATATCATCTCAAATCCAACAAACTGATTCTGATTTGTTTTCTTCCTCTAATTTCTCATTTCCCACTGAAGCCACAGTGCACTCTGCAATAAAAATACCATAGTACTAAAACTCGGCAACTGTATTTTTTTCTTTGTTTTACAAGTCTTTGAATGCTTACCTTCCTCGGTTCCACTAAAATGTTACTTCAACCTCCAATGCATCATCCAGTAAACCATTATTCATGTCAGCACATTGACAATGAATATTAGCAGACCATTCACCCATTAACTGGGCATCACAACCAATTCAATTCTGCCCTCAACCAGTGTTTATGTATGAATAATGCCAATACTGGCCAGTAGTGAAAACCCTCTCCATCTCCCTCTCATTAATCCAAAAGTGCAAAGGCAGTTTCAACTCAAAGGGTTGCTGCTCTAAATAAAATCATCAGCTCTCAGCCCTGTTCAGTAATCAAACCAGCAATCTTCCTAGGCCACGCATTCAGTCAGTAAATTCAACAGGCTGGATTCTTGCCAGATGCGATTTTGGTGAGGGACATAAATTATCTCAGGTGGGCAGCCCCCCTTCCCTCTCACGCATTGCTGACCTGTACCGAGGCCCTTAATGCCCCAAGTAAAGGGCAATTAAAAACTAGGGCAGCATGGTGGCTCAGTGGTTAGCACGGCTGCCTCCGAATGCCAGCGACCTGGGTTCAATTCCAGCCTTGCTTGCCTGTGCAAGTTGGCACATTCTCTGCACGGGTTTCCTCCAGGTGCTCTGGTTTCCTCCCACACTCCAAAGATGTGCAGGTTAGGTGGATTGGCCATGCTAAATTGCCCATAATGTCCAGGGACATGTAGGCTAGGTGGATTAACCAGGGGAAAATTGCAGCGTCACAGGTATAGGGTAGGGATCTAGGTGGGATGCTCTTTGGAGGAGCAGTGTGGACTTGATGGGCCAAATAGCCTGCTTCCACACTGTAGGGACTCTATGATACAATCCTGCCACCAGTGTCAAAAAATGCTGGACAGTGGAAGTCAGGCCAAGAAATCCAGTAACTATTTTAAATTGTTTTTCTATTAAGGCAGGAAGGAAGAGTGATGTACGTCAATCAGAGATGCCTTCTGTGCATCAGGGACACACACTCCCCTTATTCCTCCCCACCTAGCTGGAATACGCATTCCCACTCCTCCACCATGATGGTCTGATCTTTTCACCCTGAATACCAGGGAATTACCTCACTCTGATTGGCATCACACTTCTTTCTGAAGATACTTGCGATCCCAGCAGTATCCAATACTGACAATTCTTGGACTGTTAGAATCTGATTGTCCAGTAGCCCTCAGGAGTGGGACTTCCTGTTACTAAGAGGCAGAAGTCTGACCTTCAGCCTCTTTATGTTGCTCCAGTGGGTTAGTGCCATAGGGCAGGTTTTACAGATGGTCTGTTCTGCCCGCTGAAGTCCAGCCCTATAGGTCACTGAGAAAGAGATAACACCTGCATTCACACATAAAACCTAAACAGCAAAACATTATTAGGTGACTTGATACTGTGTCAAACTATGCAAAGTCCTATTTTATGTGCATGCTGAGCAAAAATGACTAAACCATAAACAGTGACAGAATCAAAAGATCATCTTTTTCCCTGCTAATGTGGTTCCAATCTGCTCCAACTGTGATTGGCATCAGCATAGTTGAGGAACTGAAAGGTTTCGATTAGGAATGTTTATATAACCCACCAATCTTGAATTCTAAGGTATCCATCCTGAGCCTGATTACGAGGACAGCTGCCCCACATGACAGCGAGGATTCAAGTAGGTTAAACAGCATGAAGGTATCTGACCAGTGACTGGGCCGTAAAATATGTACTTGTAACAGAGGTAGCATTGTAGAACAGAGGGACCCAGGGATTCAGGGACATAATTATTTGAAGTTTGCATCACACATAGACAGGATGGTTAAAAAGGCATTTAGCACGCTTGTCTTCATTGCTCAGTCCTTTGAGTGTAGGAGTTGGGAAGTCATGTTGAAGTTGTACAGGGCATTGGTGAGGCCTCTTCTGGAGTACTTTGTGGGCATCCTGTCATAGGAAGGATATTATTAAGCTAGAGATGGTTCAGAAGAGATTTACCAGGATGCTACCGGGTATGGAAGGCTTGAGTTACAAAGAAAGGCTGGATAGGCTGGGACTTTTTCACTGGAGTGTAGCAGCTTGACAGATGACCTTATAGAGATTTATAAAATTATGAGGGGTTACAGATAGGGTTAATGGGAGGTATATTTTCCCTAGGATGCGGGATTTTAAGACGAGGAGGCATATTTTTAAGGAGAGTGGCTTAGAAAAGACATGAGGGGCAAATGTTTTACACAGAGGGTGGTTCTCATGTGGAATGAACTTCCTCAGGAAGTGGTGGATGCAGGCACAGTCACAATGTTAAAAGGTGCTTAGATAAGTGCATGAATAGGAAAGATTTGGAGGGATATGGGCCAGAAGCAGGCAGGTGGGACGAGTTTAGCTTGGGATTATGGTCAGCATGGACCGGTTGCACCAAAGTAGCCATTCAGTGCTATATGACTCTATGACTCTAAGTCAAATACAAGGTCAGAGGACACACGAGTTGTCAAGGAGCCAGAGATTGAGAGAGAGAGAGACTGAGAGAAAGAGAAACCTGAAGGGAACTGCTTTAAACCTCAGCAAAGCTATAGCAATAGCCAGCTGCATGGAGCAGCTGAGAGATAGAGAATGGGAGGTGAAGCTAAGTGAGGAGTTGCAGGAGATGAAGCAGGAACTGGAGAAAGTAAGAGTCAAAGCAATACAGCAGGAGCAGAGGAGCCAGGCAAATGTGGTATGTTAGGGACAGTTCAGACTCAGTGCAATAGGGCACACTAGGAGGCACAGGCATGGTCAGTGATCAGGTCACAACCTAAAAAACTGTGGATGAGCTGAACAAGAAATACAAAAACTTACAGATTACACTCAGAGTCCTGCACCAAGCAGAAAAGGTAAACAGAGCTTGCATTGAGGAGCATTTGAAATGCCAGCACAAGATTGAAAAATTAAAGTCCCAATTTTATATGCAAAAGGGAATGACTTGCACATTTTGCACAATATAATCAGATGGAGTCAGCGAGTATGGGATAGACTGGGAGGAAATGGAAGAACAAGCCTGTAGAAACACCAAGGGCAGTGAAGCTGTGGAACCCACCCCCCACTTCCATTTCTAGAGGGAGTAGGTCCTTCAGCACCCCCAGGATCTTACCCTGTCCCAATGAACCCACTGATCAGAATCCATTAGAATGGCCAGAACAATAATCCATTTACTTATATAACCCTAGTTATGGTAGCACAATTGGTGAAGATACAAAAACTGTTCCCCATGTTTGAGCCCAGCACTAACAATTATATGTTTTTTGACAGCACCCACCAACAAAGGGTTGCCATGGCTTGATGATGTCAAGGAGGTAAAATTAATGTTCATGTTCCTCAGTCCCACGATCCACTCTGCCTACCCTGTCTTCAGAAGGGGAGCTGCAGGTCATGAAAGCAGCAATCCTAGCCACTGTAGGATACAACAGGGGAAACCCTGTGGAGGGACTAAGTAAGTGTAGGCAGTAAAAGGGAGAACACTCAACTGCATTTGCCAGACACTTGTGGACACAGTTCATACAGGTAATATATTTGGAGTCAGCCAAAGATTCCACATCACCTACTATCCTCAATCCCAGTAGGACTGTAGACAGGATGAATCACGCCCTCAAAGGGATGCTGCAAAAGGCCATCCAATAAAACAACCAGAAACCTAGTTCTACCCTTTGACCACATGATCATAAGGAACTCAGCCTCCAGTTCAACTGGATACATCCCTGTGCTCTAATGACTGGATGCCCCATGAGTTTCAAACCTTTAATAGGACTGGACTCGACAGAGCCCGAGGTCGAAATCCTCTGCCGCAAGGAAACGGTAAAAATTCTATTAGAAAATGTACAGGCTACACACAAAGCAGTGATGGGAAGGTGAACCGGGTAGTTACGAAGTAGGGCAGTGGGCGATGTTACGAATTTTCCAGCCGGAACATTCCTGTCTCCCAGATATTCAGATTCCCACTTGGTGGTGGACAAGACCAGCCCATCTGTGTACAGAATTTTACAAGATACAGGAAAAGCTGGGTGACACCACATTAATCAGCTAAAGGCCTACAGAGCCCAAAGCAACAACCCTCAACTCCACGTGCTTCTAGGGGAACTGGGTAAAGTGCATTCTCACCCAAGTCCTGATCCAGGCCACAGGCC